TTTTTTTTTTTGCTGAAAGATTAATTGACCTAGTAAATGTCGCTAAAAATTCAGAATAACAACAACTCTCTCAAGTGAATATATGAAAATATTTAGCAATTTTTAAACTATAAATTTCTGTTTAACCATTCAAAGCCTTTACAGATTGTCTTAAATGTGATTATAAAATATTACGAAGAAGTAGAGTTTGATCTAACAATAAGAAACTTACAACTTTTCAGTTTAATACTGTTTTTCAAAATACACTTTTGATATTGCGTTTGTTGTCTCACGTATACAGATTCAATTTTTTGATGCTACTTAATTTCGGGTTTTGTGACCTTCTGAGTTGTCGTCGAGTGTTGTTAAACGAAAATTTAGATTTTGGCAAATAAAAAGTAATGAAAAGTTAATGCTACTTGTTTGCAGCTACTATCTTAATGACAATTACAACAAAACCCTTACAACATCTTCTGCGAAGCTAATGGTGGTGAACTGAAAATTGGAACGCGATTATTTTTTTTCTTTTTTTTTCTTTTATTTTTATTTTTGTAAGAACAAAACTGAACAAAGAAATCTATCAGTATGGAATCACTGAATACGGGATCGTTAACTGTACAGCCCTTTGATGACGATGATCATTTTACAGACTTGGCTAAATTTTCTATGTTTCAGGTTGGTAGCTATTTTATGTGATTATTAAGCTTTTAACCTGAAATAATTGTTTATTAGCAGCATTACATTAGTTGTCGTAAAAATTGGTTTCGAAGTATAGTTCACCTCTGTCAAATTTATACCTAGTCGTCATTTAAAACATTTTGGATTTGCTGATAGTAGAGTTGTTGGTAATTAGATGGCCGCATCATAAGAAAATACAAACAGAGTGGGAATTCTGTTTTTTTATTTATTTATTTATTTTTTTTTTTGAGTTGTCTGTTTCAAGATTATTTTTTTAAGTTAAATTCTTGGTTAGCTTAATGAACTTAACATATAAATATTCATATTAAATGAATTTGATAAAACTTTTGATGTATTTTCTCATTTATTCTTAATAAGTATCATATAAAGTTGGCAGTTAGATAGAAAATTCATTTTTTTCTTTCAGTTTTAAGAAAAGCTAGAAAAAAATTCTGTTGTTCCAATTGTTACATATATATAATAAGACAAAAATCAGGTGGAGATAAATGGTGACAGCTGGTAATACTCTATAGTTGTGGAACGTTTGGGATAGATTGTTCATTTAATTTCTCATGTTTGAGAACTAATTAAATCTGAAAGTTTTTTCTACTAGCTACTACTTAGATATTAATAAGAATATGAAGTATTAGGTGCATCTTTTACAAGCGAGTTATAGTTAGTGTCAGCATTTATTAAAATATTTGACAATCTCAAACTTTTTTTTTTGGAACTTGTTGAAGTAATCACTATTGTAAGATATCTTGATGTTCAGATGGTGGCAGTTGGAACAATTTTGGTAATCATAATATTGGCATGTATCATTGGTAACGTATTTGTTATATTGGCAATCATTGTTGAAAGGGACTTAAGATGCAGACCGCAGTATTATCTAATTTTTTCACTTGCGGTTGCTGATCTGCTTGTAAGTGTTTCATTTTAAACGCCGTCTTAGTAAATCTCGATGTTATATATCTGCATTTAGAATTTATAGCAATGAATAATGTCTGGCGTTGTTTAGACTACAAATTTTTAATGATACGGATATTTACACAGACGGAAGAAGCTGGTGGATGTCTTAGAAATCAAAAAATATCAAAATGACAATAAAGCTGAAAAATTGTTTTCAGGTTGGGCTAATAGTAACACCGCTATACGCTTGGGCAACTTTGGCAAAAGCCTGGGAATTGGGCGCTGCCTTGTGTGATATTTGGATTACAACAGATCTTCTGTTATGCACTAGTTCGATTTTACATCTTGTTGCAATTGGTGAGTCATTTCAAACGCAAAAGATTCAAAGTAATCTCAAAAATAACTTCACTTTTATTTTCTTTAATACTTGTAGGAGAAATTATAAGCAA